GGCTTCTCGGCTTCTGGGCTTCTTGGTCACATGTGTACTATGACTATGGCTTGTCAGCTTCCTGGCTTCTTGGCTTCGCGGATTCGCGGCTTCTGCCCTTCTTCGCTTCTCGGTTTCTTGGCTCTTTCTTGGCTTCTTGGTAATATGCGTGTACTATTACTATTATAACCATTTTGCTTATTATTATCATGATTATTCCTAGTATTACTCCCAGGACTATCATTTCTATTATTCTGACTAGTCTTATCACCATTGCATGTATGAATACTGATGAAGAACGATGAATATAGCTGACTATACATATATATATATATATACATATGTATTCTCTCTGTGAGATGAACCTTAAACCACCCAAGCATCATCATCATCGTCATCCTCATCAGGTTCCGTGTACGTAGTAGTACTCCCAATTAGTTGGACAGAAGTTCACTTAACAGCATCTTCTAAAAATTGTGTTAAAACCTGCGTTTTGTACACTGGAACCACGCTGCCCATTCCGCAGTGGCTGCAACACCACAAGGCTTCAGCCGCAGACCTGCAAGAAAGCAGAGAATGACCTTTTCATGGCATTCGGAAACCGCCCAACTCGCGCAGACGACACGGCATTAGCTTCGACCCCGTCTGACCGCCGACACCGCGCACTCAATCCGGCCTCTTCGGCGGCAGTCCTTCTGCGTTGGTCCAATGAGGTGCATTGGTACACTGTAGAGATGCCAACTTCAGGCTCGGTTCTCCATTCTCTTGCTCAGGCCTCTTTATTCCATGCGCAGTCCGCGGCTCCAAGTCTTCGCCTCACCGACGAAGACTCTGGCTGCGACGTGCCTAACACAGAAGCTCTGCTGGACTTGCAAGAGATGGGTGTTCTTACCGTCAATCGGCAGTCGTCAGAAACGGTGCATGCAGCCGGTGCACATGTGACTGAGCCGATGCAGGGCCTCAGCGTTTCTCCCTCGTCGGCTTTTGCTCCAGCCATGACCATGACCGAAAGTATGATTCATCCTCGCACACCCAGACCAGATGTGCATCAAGCGCTCGAAGCAGATTCAGTGCGTCGATCGAAGTTGCAGCTGGGCGTGGCGCTGCCACTTGCCCGGGAGGCCGCCAATCTTCACCCGCATAGTTTGGACGCAGCATTGGATTGGGCCTGTGCATCACACCGCAGGCGCAACATTCCTCGTGTTGTCAGCCCTGGTGAGGTTCTACACATCTCCGATTCCGAGGAGGAGGATGAGGAGCGCACAGCCAACCAGCCAAGCACCAGGCCCTTGCCCATTCCCGTGAGCTGGCAATGTCACGCCTCGAGTCCGACCCGGTCCTGGCTATACGTGCCGCTTCTGAAAGCGGCCGCCGGCATTTTAGATCCAGAGGAGTGCAGTGCCTGGTATACCCATGCTGCCATTGGTCGCACTTTCAGAGATGCAGCGTGCCTACTCGCCGCCAGCGCCCCACAGGAACTTGCCAGCCTGCATGTTGCGTTTGCTGCTGCAGGGCCTGCCGCAATGACCCTACCTGATGCGGTCCGCTGCAGTCTAGATTCTCACGGATATATTCCTGCCGAGTTACAGGAGGTGTTGCTGCAGGCATTCAGTCGGGATAGCCGGTTTCTGCAAACCTTAGATCATCTAGCCGAGGCTGGCCGTGTGCCACCGGCCGCAGCAGCAGCCGCTCTTAGGGCACCGGTGCCTGTGCGAACCCCCGGTGGATCTTCAGCACGCCTTGAAGAATGCGCGCGTGCATACTGGGCAGCCCGCCAATGTGCGATTGAAGACACTGTGGAGAAGTTGTACAGACTGCATCTGCGTCACGACCCCAAGGATGTTGCAAAACACTAAACCCTATTCTAATTATTAAGGGCCCTGCATTATACGCTAAACTCCAAACCCTTCCTTCCAAAGCCTTCCTTCCAAAGCCTTCCAAATGCCTTGGAGTTCTTCTGGTTGGCTCTTAGGACTTTAACTTTTTGGGTTGCTATATGAACCCTAAACCCTAAACCCTAAAACCCTAAAACCCTAAAACCCTAAAACCCTAAACCCTAAACCCTAAACTACAATGAGGAGGCTAAAAGTTGAGCTTTTAGGAGGGGTGCAGGGGTCAGACACTAAACCCCAAACCCTAAACCCCAAACCCTAAACCCTTCCTTCCAAAGCCTTCCAGATGCCTTCGCCAGGAAAGAGACCTGGTGTCCGGTGGTCCGCTCCGTGGGGTTCTGCGCCTTCTTTCGAGGGCCTTGTGCCCTGACTCTTAAGTTTTTAGCTTTTAGGGTTTAGGGTTTTGGGTTTTGGTTTAGGGTTTAGGGTTTAGGGTTTAGGGTTTAGGGTTTAGGGTTTAGGGTTTAGGGTTTAGGGTTAGGAGTTTGATTTTCGTGTGTTGGTTGAAATGTTGTTTTGGTTTGGAGCTGGTTGATAGTGTTTCGGGTGCTTGGGCTTCTGCAACTTTGGTTTAGAAGGGGTTAAACCCCTAAACCCTAGATCCCAAAACTCTGAAACCTGAACCCTAAAGTGCTTGGGGGGGGATTCTGCTTCTTAACCCATACCATCCAATGTCGTTCCTTTTTGGCCACACTTTTCGAGGTTTAGACCTGGGCTCTAGAATTCAGCATGATCTTCCGCAGTTAACCGTTTAGGGTTCTGGGTTTATAGGGGTTAGGATTGAACTTCAAAAGCATGCAAATTCGACCGAATTATACCATCCAACATATTTTCTTTTGGCTACCAAGCCTCCTTCCTGTAGAACGGATCCTCACGATTCGTCGGCCAAGAAGAGGAATAGGATTGGAGGGCATATAGGTACCCTGTAAACACTAACCCGCAAGACCGACTAAACCCTAAACCCTCCGGGGGCATGGGCTTTCCTCGGCCATCCCCTCAAAGCAGGTACATACTCGTGCACCGACTGCATCCGCTTCGACGACGGTGGTGTTGAGGAGGTGGTTATCAATGTCGAGGATGTATCTGGCTTAAAGTTTAGCAGCTTCCCGGGCTTAAGAAAGAAGCTTAGGTAATAATCAACATTCCCAAACCCTAAGCCGCGGTTTACTATAAGGGGATCCCACAATATAGAAGCCTAGATAATTATTTATGTTCCTAAACCCTAAGCCGTGGCTTACTATAAAGGATCCCCAAACCGCAGTCTAATTGAAGAGGCCGCTAAACCCTAAACACTAAACCCTACAGGGTTTAGGGGTGTAGGATTAAGGGTCTTAGGGTTTAGGG